CCAACCAACAGTGTTCATTATGTGGTTACATGTTTTTTTTAACTTTCCATAAAGGATTTCTTTTCCTTTGGGGGAAAAAAAAAATCAGAAATGAACTATTTCCATCTTAACAAAAGAAAAAAAAGATAAGGCAGCAAAAGCCAAGGCTCCTTGTGTATCATAACTGATTTCACTCCATACCCCCAACAGCTAAAGGCTCTGAAAAATTAGTCTTGCATGAAAAACAGCTGTGTTTGATGTATTCCCCAGATGCTGGCAAAGAACACAGCGAGAAACATGCAAGAGCATGTTGAGCTTCTAGTTCAGCATGATGTGAACATCCAAAATCCATGACGTTGTTCTGTGCCTGGTGACTAAAGTTAAAACCTAAATCTGTGACTCTAATTGTGACCTCAGTAGTCAGTACAGTGGAAATGCAGGGGCTCCCCAAAACTCGTGAAGCCTGAAATATAGAGGACAAGCATCTTAATTTTAATAGTTCTCTCTCTCTCACATACATGCACACAAACACTTGAACAGATGTCTGAGTGGGGCAGGCTAAACAGTGTCAACCTGCATTCTCTTGCTTGGATAACTTGCTCCGACGAATATAGCAAGTCGCAGTCAGAGTTAACTAGTAAACCCCCTTGGTTCATCACAAAGCAAAAGCTGCCTCTTTGAAGTGAGTTGTGAGAGTACAACTTGGAAATCAAGCAGAAGAGTAAAGACCGGCAAGCACCCAGAAGACAAGCTGCCATCAAGAGTAGCAGACTTCCAGCGGGACCTAAAGCATCGCAATTTGGCACCGAAAGTCTCTGCAACAATGTGCCATTGAGTAAAAAATTCAGAGATGCAACATATAAATATTTAGCTGTATAACAACACTTTTGGAAGCTGTGGGTAGCAGAGTATGGGAAGAGCTATTCCTTACGCCTTTATAGCAGTCTCTTAACTCCTAAGTTTTATTACAAGACTCTTGGGGGGTGGGGTTGGAAGCAGTTTGACCCACATGGTAGTACTGGAAGTAGTAACAATACTTCATTATTATCTCTCTACTGTCCTTTTCAATTAGGAACCTGTCCACCACACTTCAGATGAGACTAGAAATAGAAGAACTTTCCTAAAATCACCACCCACCCTGGGGAGGGTTAATTATTATTGGGAAGATATCCAGTGAAGCTTTGGAGAACTTGTCTAAACCCGAGTAGGTGCCAGTGGTGGAAGTGGGGCAGGGTGAGCTGGGCACCAGCCCCAGGCACAAATGTAATGGGGGCACCAGCAGAATCCCATAGCCCTCTACACCACCCACTGCCACTCAGCATCATCTCTGCCCAGGACGCGAGAAGTGCTAGCTATGCCTCTGGTGAGGGATGTCCACTTTTTGGTGCCTCTTGAAAGCATTTTTTTCACAGTGTTTCAGACTTGCCCCTTAACAGGTAGCGATATAGCACCCAGTATCAAGCAAGCACCTCTTTTTTTCTGGGTCTCTTGCCCTCCTCTCCCATATGAAGTAGCAATTACTCTCTCTCCATTTGAAATCATATCACTGAGATTTTTTTTCTCACATGTAGCAATTAGTGTGGGTCCCTTTCTTCATTTTCTTTTTTTTTTAATGCGTCTAGGGATAAATATTTCTGTAGTTATTGTTCCAGTTACTACTGGTGTGGGCATTCACTCCATGCATGTTTTCTGGCCGGGCGGAGAGCATTTTGTTCATTTTTTTTCCCACCGTTAGTAACATTCGTAAGCTATCTGAGAATGATAGGCTAATAGCATCGTTAGGCTACCTCATAAACACATGTATAAGGAAGCTTTCAATTTGGTATGTAAAGACAGCTGATGTGCTGTCTGATAAATATTTGCAATAATCTGCAAGAGGAAAGATGAATGATACCATGGATAACTTAAGTAATTTTTTCCAACTCTTCAGTGCCTTTCTTCAGACCTGGAGGCATACAAGGACCAGATGCCTGTTTCCTGCGTTGCAAGAAAACATGGCAACTGAAAGCCCCGTCCTTCGTGGAATAGTTATTCTTTGGACAGGCGATTCCACATTCAGGACTTGGCACTGCTTTCTCATCTGGGTGATAGAAGACCAGATTAGTGTGGCCAAACATGTTGCTTAACATGCTCTGGAATGGAAAAGGACCTGGGATCCTTCAGCTACCATTAGGAATTACATTCTAGACCAGGAGGAATTTTAGGAACAATAATACAGGAAGTTCTCGATTAATTCATATGTAGATTATTCACAGGATTGCAATGGACAGTGTAAACCAGCATTGTTGTTTTGCAGATTTTTTTATTAACAGCTCTGTACAGAAATCAGTTTAACTTTTGGAGAAGTGGCATTGTTTTGTCTTGGATTATTTAAATTCATTACTATGATTAGCAGGATAATTTTTTATGGCCTAGCCAGCCTCTTCCATTTGGATATATTAATATGCTCCTTTAGATGTCATGTGCACACGGGCGCAGGATGTGCATATGCAGACATGCACGCGCGCGCGCGCACACACACACAGGGTCCTATTTGTTAGCCGGCTGCAAAGGAAGCTTGGTCAGAAAGGCGAGGAATCATTAAGAAGAGCAGGGAATTAGGTAGGAGGCTGTCAGAAGAATGCAGAGTTACTGAAGGCTGACCCTGCTGGCAGTAGTTCATTTTTCATGTGCCTCCTTGGAAAACCAGTGACAAAATGCTGCATTGCAATGGCACTGGAAAAAGGCAATTTCCCCCTTGGAGGTGAAATCAGATTGTCCCTTTTCCCAGCGATCAAGAAGTGGAGCAGTAGGGCTGGAAGATTGGGTGGTTTGGAGGCGGCATACATAGGGACAATAGAGCCATGCGGCTGGCATAGCTCTGTAGAGGTGGCTGTGATGAGCAAACTTCTGAAGATCTGGGTCAGACCGTCCCGACCTCTTCAAAAGGGAGGGGAATTCATGCAAATCAAAATGTATTGAAAACTTTTGTGTTCACACAGGTCCCAGCCACCTCCAGCCCAGCCAGAGCCTTCTCGAACTCGCTCAGCATCTGCCTGCCTTCCACTAACATATCCCTGAAGCCTCCAATTCATGTTTTCTGGCTCTCACCATAACCCTAATTTCCTAACACCATCCTCTTCCATTCCTGGCAGACATTGCCTGGGCTGGGTGGCAGTCAAGTCTGGCATTTTCCTTAATATTCTAATCAAATCTTCCTCATTTTACTGGGTTTTCTTCTGGATCAGAGATGCGCTGGATTATCTTTTTCCCCACAAGCCCATCATCTCTGGCCTTGGAGCCCTCTGTCAAGGACAAGAAATGCAGCTGGGTCTAGTATAGGAGGCAAAATGTTGTCTGATCTTCGGTGGTGCATCAACGAAGGAGGCCCATTAGAGCTCAATGAGAGGGAAAAGACAGTTATTCAAATATTTCTTATGTCTAATAATGTTTTAAATAGTTTGAGTTTGGGGGTTAGGTTTTGGTCTGTTTATTTTTCTCAGTGGTAACAGATACACAGCTGCATCTCTGTGGTATGGCATTAAACCAACTAGTTTGGACATTTGGTTATAAAACACCCGTGTAAGCATAAACCGGACTCCGTATTTTGCATCCAAAATGATCTGATATGGCCGTAGCTTACGAGTATCTCCTAAAACCTTCTAAGCTAAATTAACCTCACATTTTAAACATATGCTATGCACGGACACAGACTTAAACATTTACCACTGTCATGCTGGGAGGCAGCAGTGAGTTAAATATCTGTACTTCTTATGAAGGGTTTTGATGCTTAAGCATTATGAGTGCAACCAAGAAATTAATTCTTGCCAGGGGAAAAAAAAAACGGAGGATGGAACAACTCATGCACCAACTACTTTTAATTTGCAAGGTCAGCTAAACCTTATCAAAATCCATAGGCCAAAAATGTCATTAAGATACAGTTAAGGTTAGACACAGATACCAACTCCCAGGCAAAAACCTTCATTAAGATACACTCAAGGTTGTAAATACATCCACATCAATTAACACCAGACAACATTAGAGCACTATGGTTATTAAAGATGATAAACATTCGGAAATTGAAAGTTAAGGTTAAAGTCAATAAAACAAATATATGAATGATAGGAAATACTTCTAAGTCTGGCCCCATAACACTGCTCACTGTCCGTGGCTCTTTGCTTGATGTTCTTGAGTCATAACAGGGTCTTCTAGTCCCTCTGCGGTTTGATCGGGGAATGAATGTGTAGCATTTATACAGCATCTGAAGGCGGTACAGGAAGGGATAAGACATGAGGTATTTCTGAAGAGGTGCCTGCATTTGGCTCAGGGGGTGATTTGGGCCATGTGATGGGAAAGGAAGTCTCGTCGATCTATGTCTTTAGTAACTGGTTGCAATTCCAGAACAAACCATATCCAACATCCTTCAACTTCAGCCCTGGGACAGGTACATCCCTCTGGTTCCGTCTCTTTTCAATAGGACTCATTTAGTTGCTATTGGAAAATACTGATAATGATACATGGAGGTTGGGTATGAGGAATTATATGTAGATGTAATAAGCAGACCATAAGCATTGAGGTGGAATCCAATTATTCTATCCATTACTGCTGTATTTTGTACCTAATGAACTGCCGTTTTATAGGAATGCTGATAAATGCTAAACACACTGAAAACAAATGATACACCTATGGGCCCTGGACAGCTACACATAAAAAATAGAGCAGCAGCTGGAGTGGTAGAATTCTTCTATGATGGGAAATTGCATTTCATGTCAGACTATTAACCGCAGTCTTGGGACATAATAGAAAACAGGTGCCATACAGGCTATGAGCCTATGCAAAGCAATATTATGTCACCAAAAATGTCTCCTAATAGGAGATGCAGTACAAATAATGGCTTCATAACCATTACATTAGATCTGGAGGACTTGTAATGGAAACTCATCCTCTTCCGTGGGATTTTGGCATATCATAGTTTGACTGAACCAGGCGTCTCACTGTGATGCACCCGGATGAAGTTATCAATCTTGTCCATTCCTTTTTAGCTTCGATAGTGATCGGGAAATGGTGGTGTGAGATGGAGCCGTGCCTAGAGGGGGAAGAGTGTAAGACGCTGCCTGATAATTCTGGATGGATGTGTGCAACCGGCAATAAGATCAAGACCACCAGAGTAAGTCCTGTTTCCAGTCATACACCTTTAACAGGGAAGGGGCTCGCTTGCTCTTGCAACAAACACCTGTGGCATTTTCGAGCCACTGCGGCAACTGGAAAGCACATTGCTTTCCAGGAGTCATCACTTGTGTTCACTACTTAATTCATCCCAAGGCTCAGGATCCTCAGCTAACCTCTGGTGTTCAGACTGGCATCCCGGCCCTACTGAATCATCGTGTCCCTTTCTTAATATCATTGCCTTCAAGAAGTAGCTTGGAGTCCCGTCAGCAGACTTGTTTGGGGAAAGACAAGAACAAAGGAGTGAACAGACCTCCTGGGTCATCCGCTTCAGTCCTCAGCCACTGCAGGCTAGCACATCACATCATCCCACCGACTCCCCTTGCCCCCGTGTCCCACTTGCCCTCTTCCTCTAAGAGGCTGCAGTAGCTGCGCTGTCCCGTGGTCCCCTCTACTTCTCTCCTCCCTGTCTCCAGCCTACAGAGAGAAGTCTGCTCTGCCCCAGGGTCTCGCCTTGAGGATGATGATTTCAGCCCATTGGCTTCCCTTCAAAAGCCTTATGGCTTTTGAACTATATTGCTCCTCTCTATAGGGTCTTACCCTGAGATGAACATGCAAGCAGTTTCCCCAAGCGATATCCTCCAGGACAGTTCTTGTTGGCCTCCAGGGAGGTCACCAAGTTTAAATAAATCATTCAAATAGACACATAAGCAACTTTCCCTGCAAGAAAAGTCAATGAGTGCCTTAAAAAGGTCTGCTGCAAGTCAGCCTCCCACACCCAGGGCAACCAAGGAAGCAGAGGGGGACACGGTGGCTCTCTGCATCACAATTTCTTCCTCCAGCTATTTGCAGGGTGACATAGGTAAGAGCTACCCCATGCTTGCAACTTGCCTGTTTGTAACGGAAATAGCACTTGGATATAGCAAATCACTGTAGGGGAGAATGAAAACACCATTTGCATACTATTTTTCAGAGCACTAACTTTTTCCCCAGTGAATCAGAAATTTCAGAAAGGGGAAAGTGATATTAAAGGGATATTAAAAATTCACAAGCAATATGCAGATGGATTTTAAAACTTTGTCATTTACATATTTAAAAAAACCTAGCACAAAAACAACACTAATAACATAACGCCTCTGGAATCCTGAAGTCTGTCTTGCAGATCATAATTTGGGAAATTAATTAGGTTTTATATGAATTTGTTATGTCCTCAACTCTATCATCCAGTATCATATGAACCAGTGGTGAGTAATAATATTGCTAGAAACGTAGCTGTTCCATTCATATTCAGATGTATGATCTAATCTACTCAGTATGCATTACTGTATTTCATTTAAATTAAATACCTACAGAGGTGAGTGTTCAGAAATGAAAAAAATACTTCTGTCATTTGCCCATAGGCATTATTTTAATTAGTTAGTGTGGGATATCTTTTAGTGCTACTTCCAGTAGCATTTTGCTTTGTTTCTTTACAATATTGTTACTCAACACAATTTGGTAAAGCCTCAGTGGTATGATATGCTTAGCAACTCTCTTAAATCTTCTAAACATAAATCCTGCATATCTTTTGGGATTATTGAAACTTTGCATAAATTCCCTCCACTGAGCCTTATTCAGCAAAAAAAAAACCCAAAACAACCCATCAGAATAGGATTTTTGTATAGTATAAAGCTCAGTGTCATTTTAGAATATATAAGCAAAAGATACACTATAGTAATATATTGTCCAAGACCAGCTGAGTGAGGGTTGCATGCTGTCATATCCCATGTGTATTTGTTTGCATATATTCCAAAGTGTGCACACCAAAAGAATCATCACAAGCTGGACAGGTGTATCCATGATGGTTAGCAAAAAGCCTAGCATAGGTCATTGTGGGTCCTAAACAGTTTTGCTGCAGATCCACTCTGTACGCAAAAGAGCACGTTGGGAGGGAGTGCAAGACAGCTGGTGGTCTGACCATGAAAACATCCACCATTGTATTAGGTAGGATTAAAGTATGGAAATAAAGGTTTTGCTTTAGAGAAGAAAAAACATTTTTTTTTTTTTTGTTTCTACTAGGAAAGAAGGAATTTCCCCCCTAATACATTATCCACAGACGTTTACTCCTTCCTCTGTAGTGGCCGCTACTGGGTGCGTCTACACAAAATGCTTTACTGCGCATCAGTCTAACCTAATATGCAGTAAACCGTCACTGTCTACACATGCGCAGGACTTACTGCACAGTAAATTAGGCTAATGCGCCACTTAGTAATACCAGGAAATACAGGTACCAAATTAATGCCACATTAGGTACTGCACAGTAATGCATGCATAGACACTGGAGCAGGAGGTCCCTTGCTGTTTGGCCAAGCCTTGATGCAGGGGAGGAGCTGCGCTGGTGCAGAGGCAACTGTCCGCCCGCCATATGGGGATCGAGACCTGCCCTGATATGGCCAAGAGAGCTGTCCCAGTGGCTGGTATTGCTGCATCCCAGCCATGTGGAGCTTGGGTCAGGACACTGCCTGCCAGCCATGTGGGGATCGGGAGGGTCCCAATTCCCCAAAGTCCGGATCAGGAGGGTCCCAATTCTGCAAAGAAAATTCAGGCACATTAACTGCATGTGTAGACACACCCCCTGAGCACTGTCTATGCCAAGATACTGGACTAGCTGGACCACTGTACTGACCACTATGGTAAAGCTTATGCTCCTTCTTTTTGCATGCATAGTTGACTTTATCCCTTTCACTTTTACCATGGTTTAGTAATTAAAGTCTTCAAGCCCAAGACTTAAAGGACTGTTGACAGTTGACTTATTGATAGTCTGTTGATAGAGCGGTTGACTGAACATTGGAGAGAAATCATTTCTAATTGAGGTTTTGGTCTTGCTTTACTCTCATTTTTCTCTCTCTCCACTCGCTCTAACATCAGCTTGAGTTTGACAGGTTATTTGGAAAGTTTTTAAGCTCTCCTCTTCCTTCGCCCGAGGATCGGGGGCCTTGCTATCAGGTCACATGGTAAAATGGTGGAATTCTAGTTAGGCAGATGGTGGGGGGTGCGAGGTGAAAATTGCCCTCCTTCCTCAGGGCCAGTGAGCAGGGCTGCTGTTTTCTGGGCTGGAACACTAGCTAGAGACCCCCAGGACCCCTTAACATTGCAGCTTTCCATATCACCTTATGACCCAAGATCAGGGGTGGGCAAAATATGGCCCGTGGGCCGCATGCAGCCATTCTGTCTGGCCTGCAGGGCCCCTAAAAAGTTTAGAAACTTAATATTTATCTGCCCCCGGCTGCCTGTCATGCAGCCCTCGATGGCTTCCCAAAACCCAGTAAACGGCCCTCCACCCAAAATAATTGCCTGCCCCTACCTAAGACGCACCCAGAGTTGGTGGCTCACACCCTACTGCCATCAACCATGCTGTGCTGCAGTGTCCCCGTGATAAGTAATTCAGAGGGGGCCTTTAGTTTGCCATGCATACCAGGCGTGACCCCCACCCCATGTGCATGTGATGCAACAAATTGCCTGATGTTCACTATAATCTATGTTAATAATGCTGCTTTGCATTTGTATGATGCTCCTCACAGTGCTTTGCAAACGCACACCGAGTTCTTATCCTCCTTTTACAAATGGGGGAAACTTAAGTGCATTGCCCTTAAGTGTCTTGCCCATGGTTACCCTGCCATTCAGTGGGTGAACTGGGAATAAAACCCAGGTCTCCTGAGTCTGTCTCCCCCTCTCTATAACCAATAAAATGACACTTCACATCACTATCTTGAATCCAAGGCACCTTATTTTCATATCATCTCCTGACTACTAGGAGGGAAAGATCTGCTAACATTTCCCACTGGTTTGCCAAGTGATGCAACAGCACTTCGGCTGTGACGGTCTTTTGCACCTTGAATCCCACAGCATGTTCAGCTCTTTCACTGACGGGGCTGATAGTCGCAGCAGGAGAAAGAGAAAAGCATTCCCTTACCTCGTGTGAGAGACAGCCCAGCAGGGTTCATTTGTCAATGCTAAACCAGGAGAGCAGAAAATGGGACTTGAGTGCGTGTGTGTGTGGAAGGGAACGGTAAAAAAAAAACTTAGATTTTTTTAACTGTTTGAACAGGTTAATATGGTGGATCGTGTCTCTGATGACATTTCTATTTAGAGCACCGATGCCCTTTGCTTTTCTAGTAGCTGCCGTTCTAATTAAGAGGTCACTTTGAAGTAGTGCAAAGAGCACAAGACAGTAAATATCTCCGGTGAAGAGAGTTGCTGCTGCAGCTCATCATTCAGTCTGCTGTTTTGCTAATATTTTTTTCCTCCTGATCTAGCGACTGAGTCTATTCATGTCAAGGAAAGTTTTGCTACTGGCTTCACTGACGGAGGAAGTTTGGCCCCTTTGTTTATTCAGATGGGCAAACAAAAAGGGGGGTTTCCCAACCCCCCTCAAAGATGACTAAATATTTCAGCTCCTGGCAAGGCCTTCGTAATTCAGAGTCATAAAAGCCCTGAAAAGTAGCGGCTGTTCCCCTGCAGTATATGCCCACATTGTGGTGACAGGGCACCCTAGCAGGGACCTCTCTGACCACCCACTCCAGCTGCACCCTCAAACCCCCAGGATATGGCAGACAAACCCCGGGGACCTCTCCCTCCAAAGTTGCTTTCAAGCCCTCAGTCTCCAGCATCCTGGCATCTGTAGTTTGCTCAGCTAAATCAACTCTATAGTGTTTCTTATAAATAATAATCTCTCCACAGCCTATTATGCCCTTAGGAATGGATAAGCCATCTTCTCTCCAGAGGAAATACCTGCTCACAGTTCCTAGTAGTTTGCTGTCTCTTGTAATTTAGGCCGCCCATTACGTGGCTTTCTCTGTAAATCCACGCCACTCCAAAGGGCAGTCATTCAAGGGCTGTGGGAGAAGCTCTTTACTCCCGTGTGCTTTCACAAGCTGAACATATTGACTCCTTCATCTTCTCAGAGCATGATGGGCCAAGAATCAAGGCACCGAACGCAGAATGTGGACACATATAACAGTTGCACTGGCATTAGATTGTGCCATTATAAGAAGTCCTGCTATAACTGTTACATCTGTCTGCCCCTATAGCAGCAGAAGCAGAGTGAAACTATTGCAACTTGAACCCTGGTTTTATTAACAGTTAAAGTGATTTGTTCCATTTATCCAGGCATAGGAGCAGACAGCAGTAACAGTTACATTGGAATAGCCGATAGGCGCTCCTCAGTGGCAAGCGCTCCTTGGTTTAAAGCAGTTTAAAGATATGTCTGTCCACAGCCTCAAAGAGCTTCTTGGCAGAGCCGCATATCACCAGCAGGCTCGAATTGCAGCCCGTTTTTCATCTCATAATATATTGTATGTCATTGCTTGCAGATTCACCCAAGAACCTAACAGAGTCTTCTGGATGGATGCAATGAAAGCACCGCTGATTTAGAGGACAAAACATTAAAAGTTTAAACCATCTCAACATTTACAAGCCAAATGGATTTCTTATTTGCACTTTTGACTGTTTACCACATAATAACAGTGGCTTTACTGTCTGAAATAAAAATCTTCTGTGGAAGTAATGTCCCAGATTTTTGACAACAGAAATGGAAAAACAAACAACAACAAAAAACCCGAAGAAAATGGTACTTTTGGTAAAGTTTTCGTGACTACAAAGTATGGACGCAATCGGATCTACCGTTTATACTATTTAAAAGTATATATAAATATATAAATATATGATATTTTGAAATAAAGCCTCAATCTTCAAGAAACTGAATAGTACCACACTTTGCTGCAGCTGCTGTAGTATACATTTTTTTTGTAACGGCCTGGAAGACGCCTACCAGTTTCAGAGAGAAATATGGCAGTAAAAAGGGGAAAGCAAACCTGCTGCAGTCTGAGGACACCTAGAGCTAAGACGCCTACCGAGGCATCATCGGGAGCTTCCTTTCTTTTTTTCCAACGGGATATTGGAGGAATTGCATTCTTACTTTTTCTTGTATTCTGGAGGCTTTTTTCCCCCTTGTGCAATACTAGCATGCTGGCTTTGCTTACATAACCATACTTTATACTTAATTGATATATAACAGTGATGATTCTATCCTCTTCCAAGAAAATATTTTTAGAGCTATTAGATATTCCATGAAGAAGAGAAGGACACCTGTCAAGTAAAGTACAGTATGTATTCAGAGTTTCTTTGGCAGAGTTTGGGGGCTCCCTCCTTATTGAGGATGTTCTGTACGTGCAATGTCTACAGACTTTGTATAGCTGGTATAGACTATAGTAAAAACCCGATTACTAACTCCAGAGTTTTGCATTGTTTGCTCACTAATTCTTCAGAACAAGAGCTTCTTTTGGTTTTTAACAGTTGCTTCGAGAAGCGTCAGGTTTTGGCCTACAGCTTGATTCTTCCTAAAGGAGCAAGTTGCTATAGCTCGTAGCCCTTTCTACATACAAATTTGCAGTCGTTTCATTAAATGCGTTGAAACCTGGTTGGGCACTTTTATTTTGGTTTGGTTTATCCCTGCCACTAATCAGCTTAAGCTTAACTGAAATAAGGCAATCTTAAACTGAAATCATAAGTTTGGAACCAGTTAACAAAATTGTTTTAAATAACCACTTTTTGGTTAAATCGCTGCAGCTCTCTGTGTAGGCAGGCCCTCGCGAACAATGAGGATAGGAATAAAAAGCTAAGGGGAAAAGTGTGAAAGCCCACGTTGTGTTTGTGAATGTGAGGATCCCCATTGATCTTAGCAGGCGTATTTGGGCGGAAAAGCGCTTGCCAACCTGCATCAAGGCTAGCCTTCGGTCCTTCCAGTGCTGCCAACCTGAAGAGTACAAAAGTTCAGACCTTTTTTTTTTCCCCCTCCCCACCAGTCCAACTTCTCTTCTTTAACATTTCCAATTTCCTTTCACCTGACTTACCTCTCTCTCACAAAGCCCCCAAGGGCTTGCTAATCAGTTTTAATCCAGTGCAGAGTGAAAACGGGGAACGGTAACCTACAGCCAGTCAGAAATTCTCCCACCAACTTTTTTCCTCCTCCAGGGCAACCCTTCAACACCTGGTATTTCCGAAGGTATACATTTGTCACTGTAATTGCAATGTACGTTAAAGTAGCTGTGCAGAGTGTCATGCCAGATTCCACACGCGCTTCATAGGCTGGTACCGTGAGTGTTACAGCTCCAAATAAAAATGGATATTTTGCTTCATAAGGAGTATTTTATTACTCTCCCTTTTAAAAAGATGTTGCTGTGAGATCAACATAGGCTTGCAGATCTGGTGCTCCATCTTTTGGGGCTCAGCTGTGTGTGGGAGATGCTAGGTAAGAGAGGGAGAGTGTCTTGAACCAGATGAATTCCCACCAGACCACAGAAATCAGCTGTGCTGGGGCCTCTTGTACGATGGTAGTAGGGTGCCTCTGTGCCATGGGTGGGGATTTGTTCCCTGTCTCCTGTTCAATCTTCAAAGAAAGCCCAGCATTTGGGTTTAGTGCTGGGTCCCGGCCTCATCCCCGAGGATATCTCCTGATAGGGATGCTTCCCAGACCTGGGTCACTGGGACTGATTTCAGTCTCAGGCACTGCAGTATAAATGAAAAGTAATTCTCCTTAAGTAACTCATTATCACGCATGTGTATTATGGTCACACTTTGGAGCCCCGACTGTGAATAGGACCCTATAGCAATTTACAATGTACGTATAGGGTCTTCCAATTGTTTGGATGACCTCAGGCAGAGCACTTTTGATTCCAGTAACCAGCAACTCTAACAAATGGTGGCACAGTAAAATCAGCAAAGTAAAAAGCCTGTGTGTAGTCTCTTCAAAAATACTCTGTACAGTTGTCATACTTAGTTATATTTTACTCACTTATTGCAATAAACTCAGCAGCCTAGATGAAGAGTAAAGACGCATGCAGGCGGGGATTGTGAACTGAAGTAGACTTGATTTGAATAGCTGGTGGAGAAAACCTTGCATGCATAGATTATGGTTGGAGATACTGATTCTAATAAGTGGCTGATTCTATGAAGCAAGATGCTAATAAACAGCAGAAATTGCATTTAAAATGCTTTTTGGCATTTGGCTTGGGGGATTTGATTTCAATATGCAGCCAATTCTATTAACTGAGCATCTAATAAGCAATGGACAGCACAGCACAATAAAAGATGGTCCCTGCCCCGGACAAAATGAGGAGATATTATCCCTGTTTACAGGTGGGGGATTGATGCACAGAGAGATTAAACTGGTGACCAAAAGTCAACAGCAATATATATATGTATTGCTAATGTAAGCTACTCCATCCCAGTTCAGGTCATGTCATACAGGCCTATGAAATATAGATAGATAGATATATATATATATATATATATATATATATATATATATATATAAAATCTCAGTATATAGATATAGATATATATCTTATCTTAGTATATAGATCTATAGATATAGATATATAGATATATATCAGTTGACATGACTGATATATTGATATAATCATATTATATGACATATATATAGCTCATGTCGTATGATTATATTGATATATAATCAGTTATGTTAACTGATATATATACACATATATACACACACACACAAATATACATATATACACACACATATATATTATATTATATATTTGCTTGCACACTTAAATATGTATATTATATGACAATATATGACACATATATATAGCTCATGTCATAGGCCTCTATGACGCAACCTGAACTGGGATGGAGTATGTAACAATAGTAACCTTAATGCTTGGGTCTGCAAGATTATGCTTATTGAAGGAGGGAAATATTAAGCCTTCCACAAATGCTGTAGCCATGATGGTTCAGGAAATAGGTGAGGGACAAAGATTTTTGTGGGTGGTGTCTTTTATTGGACCAACTGTATGACTGGGATAAACTTAGCTGAGCTTTCAAATGCAGTGCGTTCTTCTTCAGGTCTGAGGAAAAAGGCAGCATGATTATGGCCAACACCAGTCTGCAGGGCTGTTAGCAATTCCCAAGAATTGCTAACAGACAAGAAATGATAGTTTGATTGGTGGAAGGGGATTAAAAAAGGAGAGTGAACTTACCACCTGTACAATGTACACTGTGAGAGATGAGCAGGAGTCAGGAAATATTGCCATTATTGAAGTAAAGTTTCTTATACATGCTTCTGAATTTTTCTTTGCCAGTAGGCAGCATCAGGTGTCACCCCACTGAATTCAGTAAACAGCTGCAACTCTTTGAAGTCACTACAAAAATCTGCACATCAAGTGCAGCATTGAGAAATTACCATTCCAATTAAAATGTCTTAGGCAAAAACAATAAGACCTTCACAAAGAATAACGACTGATGTCAAGTGAGGCTCGGAGCCTGATGCAGGCAACCTTTCTTGTTTAACTGAGTCCACTTGGGAAAAAAAAATCTATCAGCTAAGATGCACAAAGATCCTGAGTTTCAGTGATATGGAGGACAAAACCTTGTGTATCTAGAAAATCTTGGAGTTTCTTTTTTCCCCTTGTCTGATGGAATTTTGATTTCTTCTATTAGTTCAGGGTACAGGTCCCCAGATCCTTATGAGAAGGCATGAACCATGCAATTCTTTGCACATCTGTAAAGGCGTATTGACATCAGCATAGGAGGAAGCTAAAGTTCCTGCTTTCTGGTGTAAGTCCAGACAGAAGGACGCCAAGGGAAAAAAGACCAACTATTTTGTAAATGTACTGAAGACAAATTTAGATTTATGTCAACGTTTCTTCTTCGAATGTGTGAAATATGAAGCTGTTGTTTAACATGTACAAATGGGAAAATACTTAAAATACAGTAGCTACCATCTGCCTATTGATTTCAGATAATTTAGATGATGTACTTTTTATCCAAAATCTCTGGTAATAAAGAGCTCAGTGTGGTATGATTTTAATATTGCTTGGAATATGCTACATATCGTATGTGGATACACTTAAAATGCAGAGAAACCTGACAGAGTCCAACTTTGTGACCACAGATTATACATGTGATATCGGGAATGGCAAATACCATCATCCAGGGGGAGAAGGGGATGTAAAACCGGTTAGAGTAAAAACAATTTATGATGACTGATGCTTGGTGTTGTCAAAAGTATTGATCGGTCATTAGCAGACTGAACAGATATATTCAATGTATTGCTTGGTATATTTTCCCATTATAAAATGATTAGCAGTATTCCTAACTATCATTATGTGACAGACATTGCATTTCATATGGTAACTTTCTCAGAGCAAAACAGTAATTTTCCAGTGTGCTGTAATGTCAAAATATAATTATAACTGGCATATAAATTATGGAGGGTACAAACATGGTTTACCTGGGAAACACATTCATCTTACTTAAAGGTGATGGTCTTTTTGTTTCTTTTTACTGATAAGATGAATATGGTGTCACAATATAAGCTTATCTTCTATCAGTATCATGGTCATGTTGCCATAAGCAGGTTTTATAGCTGACCTGACAAAGAAATGGGTCATGCTTCTTTGGTTGGTATTCTCCATTCCTTTGTCAGATATATCCAAGAGCAAAACAGAAAGGCTCTCTGTAATAATTTTCACGTAAACAAAGAAAAATTGCATACACCAAAAATTTGGGGTTAAAAGCTTTAGCACAAAATGCCATGTGCATAAAGGAAAGTGAGTTTAAAAGGTTTCAGGCTTATGGACAGATATCCATGTAGTCTATCAGCACCTGTTGCAGAACAACTTCTGATCTTCTGCATGTATAGATTCTCCTGTAGAGATCTTAATATCTGAAAGAGGCATCAGTATACGTGGATGCAGGCTTGCAAGGCTGCTGTGAGGTGCGGAGGTACTATTATCCCCATTTCACAGATGGGGAACCAAGGCACAGACAGATTTAAGTGACCTACCAAAGGTCTCAAAGAAACCTGTGATAGCTCCAAAGATAAAATACAGGTCTCCCAAATTTTAGGCCCATGCCTCCATAGGACCATTTATCGCTTCACACGAGTCCAAGTCCATTGACAACAGGCTCCTAGTTTTCTCTAGATAAGCAGGCAGCGGTAAGACATGGGTGAGAAATCACCAGTGAGCAAAGCGTGGCTAAGGCTGCTCTCTTTGGGATCGCCATTTATTCTGGAAACAGTAGGGCTCCATTTTCTCGTATACGGTGAATGTACTTGGAACAAAGAAAATCTTTGTGGACCCAGGATCACAAGTTAATAATATTTTTTACAAGCCCAGCAAGAGGTAAGACCAACTGATGGCCAATTGAAACATGACTGTTCCAGCTATCACAATAGAAAACTCTACCAATAATAACTA